TCAGCCATAACCTGGTACCTTCACCTTTCCAGGAGGCAAGTTTCTCATTTCCAAGCTAGTCTGTTGCCTGCCAAATTTTGTCCTAGAAAAATTAAGCCAGGACCATCAGCCTGGCATTGTTCATTCACCTGAAAGCTGCCAAAAGCTCCAGACTGACTCAGATCAGAGGAGAAGGGTTTGCACAGGGACTGAAGGGAGATGATTTGAGTGCATCCAAAGGCAAAGGCTTGTCTGTGCCTACAGCAGGAACCCCTATCTGGAAGGCCAAAAGCAGCCCTGCAATTCCACCTCTACTGCAGGTCACACTACTGTACTCCCTGTGAACCCCTCTTCGTGCTGCCCTGCAGAGCCACAAGCTCACGGGGTCACCAAACAAACCATCTCTCCAGCTTGAGCCTTTCACTTTCTCTACAGACAAAAACAGAGCTGCCACCACCAGACTGCCACAATCTTAATTCAAGCCAAGTTCACACGCTTACACAATGCACTTGGTGCATTCAGCACATCTGGTAAATAAGTTCTGTTGAGCCTTTTGCTTACAGGACACTGTAATTGACTTTGCACCCAGCAAAGCCACCCAGGGAAATACCTTCAGATCCACTGACAGCCCCGAACGGCCCAGAAAGACATTTAAAAACATCCCGCCAAGGAGTCAAAACAGTGCCTCACTTCCACACCCATCATGTGAGAGAGGTTAATGTAATTCCTGAATGAAAGTCATGAGAGGCATGCAGATTTCCAGGAACAATTTCTATTAGAACTACTGCTGTGCACAGGAATCAGCTCTCAGGAGCCACCGGCAAAGCGGGGGCAGCAACCGTGGCAAAACCAAAGTGTTTTAAAACCAAAGTGTTTTTAAACCAAGTCTTTTTCTATTAGCTTCTGCCAAGTATTCACGAGCAGATCTGGTAAAGAAATAACCCATAATTACAGTACTTCAATAACATATTTACAGCAGCTAGATCCCATCTGAAAATAAACCCAGAAATAGAAAATCCAATTAGACAATAGAATGACCTAAAGAAGCTGTAAGCTCAGAAGGAAGAAAGCACCAACTCCCCAAAACAGCAGCAGTCTGCTTTTTGACAGCACCTTATGTGGGATGCTACTACAGAAAACAAAACCTTAAGCCTGCAAGAAAAGATGCAGCTTCTTCCTATTTGTAGACACTTCAAGAGCTCCAATTGCAAATTCAGATCCTAACCCTGTGTCACCAAAACCATGGGCACAGCCTGTGTCTTTAAGTAAGGAGTTCCAAAGATAGCTCAAAACTCATAAATCACAGAGCTCAGCAAAATAACTGTACTAGCAGGCAAAGGCAGTATTGGCCTTTGGACTACAGCTTGTGCCAGCAGAGCACCACTTAGATGGGATGAGCAGAGCACTTCAGAGATGGAGAAAGTTTCTAGAAAGGCTGGGACCTGCTAAAGGAAAAACCACAGGGAGCTGTTCTTCCTCCTTGTGGCTCTTCCTTCAGCACCTTGTGCACGGCCAACTGGACCTTGCCTACACTCCCGTTCATCACACCTGCCCAAGCTGTGGGCAAGAACAGTTCTGGCAACAAAGTCCTGACCCACAGGTGTCTAAACCAGGCACCAGGGTGCAGAGGATGGGGAAATGCATCCAGATTGGAGGGAGCAGCCAAGAAGGGGCATCTCCATCTCTTACTCCCACTGCATAGGACACAAACAAGGACTCTGTGGAGCAAGAACAACATTTGGGGTAAATTTCCATTGAGGCTGCTGTGAGCTAAGAGAGAGCCCAAAGTGGGTTCTGTGTCTCTGCTCCAGCAGCAGCACTGAACTGTCCCCGTGCCGTGGTGTTTGTCTGAACCATTATTCCGCATCGCTTCCTCCAGCGGGCTGGAGAGCTGCTCAGAGAGCTGGAAGTGAAGGCAGCTACACAGCGTACCTAAAAAAAGCTTAGAGTACTATTGGGAGGCTTTTCTTGTTTATTTTTACATCACCTGGTCACATCCAACTGCTCTACGCTGAAGCTGCTACAGAATCTTTCCCTGAAAGAGCCCCTGCAGCTCACAGGACTGAAGCCCAGAGCCAAATCACGCCAAGGGCAAGGCTGGATGAAGCTGCAGCATCTGCCAAGCCAAGAGAAGACCCTGTGCCCTTGGCATCTCTCCTGCCAAGCAAGCACTGAGCAGCCTCACACCCGTGCTCCCAGAATTACCTCAAAGAGCCACAGGGCTGCTGCAGGGGTGGGAAGGGGATACATAAAACATGCCTCAGCTGTGCGTAAATATTTTATTCCTCAGATTCATGCTTAGTCAATCCTCATCATTATTTTAGGGGCCTTACTCAGGCACTAAAATTGCTTCCCCATCATCTCACCTACATAAAGCAAGGACTTTGCAAGTATCTCAAGTATCTGACTCCAGCTCAGCTCATTCACACTGCAAAACCTAGAGGTCCTGCGTGTGTGGTGGGCACATACACAACCTGCCCCGTGACCAAGGCTGTGCTGAAATAAAAGCAAGGAGGAGGCAGGTTCCCACCACTGTTAGCATCAACAGGAGCAGCAAGAATTGTCTGAAAGAATTTCCTACTGCCAACAGACAGCGAGGTGAATAAAGGAAACAAAAAGGTCACAAATTAAAATACAGTCCTGTGTGCAACACCCAGAGCTTCCTTGGTGCAGACAGCTGAGCCAGGCCAGGCCCAACACTCCCATTCAGCAGCAGCAGGCCAGGAAGGCAAACCCTGTGCCCTGGCCACCTCAGCAATCCAAGCAGTGCCACCCACATCCACAGCATCACCACGTTCAGTGAGAGCAGTGTGCAGCCCCACAAGGCAGAAGCATGGTAGCCCCTTCCCCGCTGCCCATCTCTTGTCCCAGGCCAGCGCTGGCCCTGTGGCACTCAGCAGCACACACAGATGTGGCTCTCCAAAGGTGCTGCCCCCAGCTCTTGCTGAGCCCAGTGAGTGTCAGCAAATCTGCTGCTAAAAGACAAAGCACAGAGGCTTCAGCCCCGCACAACCTTCCCATCTCCCTCGCCTTCCTCCCCTCCATGGAAACCAGCAGTCTCTCATTATCAAGTATTTTTAAAACAGATTGAAGAGTAAGAATACATTGTGCTGTTTTAATCTCTCAGATAACATTTTCTATGGTTCCCATGCAAAATCTGCACTCCAGTCTCATTTTCCCTTCAGTTTTTGTTAGACTTAGAGGGGGTACATTAATAAATGAACGTGAGTCTCACTCCTGTAACGCAACCAAGCTCTGGTTCTGTACTCGTTTAGGATAAACACAAAGGGAAGGGTAGGTAGGCCAGGGCCCTCGTCCATACTCAGATCTACCAGCAAACCATCCAACACTGGTCAAGACACTGGGAATTAATACAACAGGAAGAAAAGTGCCCCCTAGCCAGCACATCTCAACAGCTTCCAGACTGGAAGTGGCTTATCTCACACTGAGCCCAGATGACCACAGCATCCTCTCAGCCTGGTTCATGTTTAAGCACAGATATGGATTTCATCAGCTGAGAGCTCCCACAGCAGCTCCCAGCACCCATCCTGCCAAAACTTTGCTTATGCATGCCTCTACATTTGCATGCTGGGATCAGTCTCCATTAAGTCAAATGAAATTACAGGCAGCACATTACACATGTGCCTTCACATCTGTGGGATCAGGGCCTTAAAGGGAAAGCCTCCCATCCGACCAAAACACGCCCTGCTCAGCTACAATTAAACACAGACACTTCAGAGCAGTTTGCTCAAGTTATTTTTCTATGCATACTTTTACAATTAACATAATGTCATATCCTGGCAGGACGTAAAAGGTTGTGACTCAGGAATGTTATCATCATTTTAACTCCAAGTGACTCGCTTTTGGTTTCATTCCTTCCCTTTTTCTTTCCCCCCCTTCCTTTAATTCTCCCTCCAACAAGATGCATGCCATTCGCAGCTCCACTTAATCATGTTTTGTAACAAAGTTGGAAAGGCAAACCTTCACCAGTCTTGCCTTGCTCTAACGTATAATTAACTCTTCCTCCAACTCTGAGCAGCACAACAGCAGCATGCTGTTGCGGGAGCAGGGAGGATTAGATAAGGAGGTACATAAGAGAGAACATGCCCAACACCTCCTGAGTGCCAGGCCACCATCCTTTCTTCTCTTATCAGCCCAAGATAAAACAACTCCCTTGTCCAAAAAGCACGGACTCGGCAGGATGCAGGGTCTGCCCCGCAGCTGCTTCCGAGGAAGCCGAGTGCCCTCCGCCCTCCCTCTCCCACATGCTTCTCTCATGCTGATGGATGCTTCATTCCCCAGTCAGTCCCACGGGGCTGGACTCAGCAGCCCACAGACAAGAATTTGGTTTAACTGGTGCAAAACCCTCTATGGATGCGGTTCTGGGATGGCCATGGGCTTGGAGTCACCAAAATAACCCAAGAGGCTCAGCAGCAGCACCAGTTTAACATAATTAAAAAAAAAAAGCGCCAAACACATTCACAAGAACAAACAGCAATCACATCTTGCAATAAGCCACGTTCCTGAGCCTCTTCATGCTGCAAAGCTACTGCTCCACACAAAGCTAAAAGGCTCTGCTTGGCAATACCCTTCAGCTTGCCCTAAAAAAACCATCTGAAGGCACGCCTTCAATGCATATTCTTACACTGAAAGCCAAACTTCCATTTCCAAGCATGCTTTAGACCTTAAGATCAAGGAAACATTTCAGAAGAAGCCTTACAAATGGCTGGTATAATTTATAGGTATTCTGTTAAGAAGCACCAGCTCTCATTTTGCTTGGTAGCATAACTTCCCCACCTCCAGTAACACCATTAACCCCATCTCCATACATTTGTTTTTCCACATCAGAGGAACCATACAGCCCCGCAGATCCACAAGCACTTAATAAACCCTAAAAGAAACTTGTCTCATCCTGGTCACATCTTGAACGCAGACCATTTTCTTATTTTGAGAGGGAGTCACATGCAAGTCCTCCACTCATGGGCAACTTCTATGTTACTCCCAAGCACAGAAAAAGTTACCGGGAAGTCGGTCAAGTCTCTCCCTCCCCTGGCCGACAATGCACAAAAGCGCATTCAGTCTGGTCACGGTGGAGTTTCATTCACGTTTCTGCAAGCTGGATGCCAGAGAGATTTCCTTTTCTTTCTCGGCATACTTCGTTGTTGTGGGTTTGGGGGCTTTTTCACTTTCTCCCCGTCAGGGGAAAATCTTTTGTCTTTCTCAAAACGAACCTAAAAACCCTCTCGGCCACCACACGCCCAGACAAACGGTCACGCTGGAAAACGCAGGACACGCGTGCCCCAGAACCCTTCCACGCCGGGACCGCCGTGCCGCGCCCGCCGCAGCCTCCCGGGGAGCGCGGGCCCGTCCCGCCCGCCGGCCGCCCACCCGCACGGGGCACAGCCCTTCCCGCTCTCCGCTTTCCCATCCGCGGGCAGCGGCGGGGCAGAAACACCCAGGGGAAGGCGCCGACACCTCAGCGGCGGCGGACGCAGCGCAGGACCATCCCCGCCGTTCCCCCGCGCCCGCGGGGCTCCGGGAGCAGCTGCCCGCCGCCGCCGCCACGGCCCCGCCGCAATCACGAGCCGCGGCCCCAAAACGGGGCCAAAAAAAGTTTTGCGCGGGCTCCCCCCGGCCCCGGAAAGGGGCAAAGGCGGCGAGCCCACCGTGCCCCCCGGCACCGCAGCCCCCCGCGAGCATCGCTCCCGTACAGCCCCCAGCACGGCATCCCCAGCGCTGCGCCCCTGCAGCCCCCGAGAGATCCCGCCGCCGCGCTCCGGCGATCCGGCCCCGGCCCCGCGCCGCCCCCCGGCCCCGCGCACCGCCGGTCTGCCCACGGCCACGGCCATCGCGGTGCGGTGTCTGCGCTGCGCTGCCGCCCGCCGCCTCTGCGCTGCCTGCTAGCGCTGCAACATGGCCACCCGGCGGGGAGGGCCCATGCGCAATGCAAAGGGGCCGGGCGGCGAGGCGGGACCCCCCCGGCCCTCCCCCGGGGCCGCCGGGCAGCGCGGGCAGGCGGCCGGCGCCGCTCCGCCGCTCGGGGAGCCCCGAAAGGCGGCGGTCAGTGCCCAGCGGGAACCCCCCGCTAATCCCTCTCCTGCCCACGCCCCCCACGCCGGGCCGCGGTACCCGTCCCCTTAACCCCGAAGGGTCTCTCTCGCCCACCCTGGCAGTGCCACAGATGAACATACTGACACATCTGCTCCAGAGACCCTTGCAAAGAGACAGCCAAGCAAGCGCTCAGCAAGATCCTCCTCAGCAAGAAGGAGCGCAGGGACTCAGCAGGGAGGTATTTCTAACAAGGAGGCACACAGGAGCCCGTAACTGCCTTGTATAACAACACAGAGGACAAAACATGCTACCTCGTTCCTCTTGTTTCTCTGAGCACTTCTGTCAAATACACAAACATAGTTTCTAAGTGAACGTGGCATACCAAACAGCAGCCACGGTGGCCAGTTGCTCTCCCATGTCACAGCATGTCACAGGTGAGACAGCCACAATACAGAGTGTCACCACACCACTTGAGAAGGTTTCAAGCATCTGCCCTTCTTGTTCTTTAGCCCAACCTTTCACACCCCTCATGGGTCATGCATCACACCTGTGTGCCCTCTGCTCCCTGTGGTGATTGGCCAGTGCCGCTGGGCACTCCATGGCTGTTCCTTCAGCAATGTTCACCTGCTGCTCACAGCTAGAGCCCACTGGGGATGAAGCTTGGCAGCCCCACTCCCAATCACCACAAACTGTGTGCCCACACTGCCGCTCCCCTATATGACTTCTAGGGCTGAAGAGAAGCATAGCTGGCTCCTTGCCACTCCAGCTGACAAACACTTATCTTGGTGTTGAGCATGATTTCCCTTTACCTAAAAGGTGGGGACTCTTAGGGCTAAGCTAAACATGTCTGCTTGCAAATCTATGGTCAAGGTAGGGATGAAGAAAAGGCCCTGCACTGCTTTGTGAGACATAAACCCCCAAAGGGCTACAGAAGACAAGAGACCCTATTTGCTGCACACTTGAAGGATACACTGAATTATGGACACACCAGAGCTACCCCCATATAAGAACATCCACAGAATCAAAAGAAAAAAGCCAGCAGAATAAAAACTGAAAGCACAAGTAAATGACCCAAGGTAGTGATAACCAAATAGACCCTTGCAGTGCACTTACCATTTGTAGTCCCTTCAATGTCAGGCTCGTACCTTTCCCTCCAAAAAAAGCAGTTTCTGTATGGCTATATAGCAACACATGGCTGTTTGAAGAGGCTACAGTGTCCAGGTATCTCCTTCCTGCAGCTTTTATGATTGTGTTTTAAAGAACTCAGGAGCTGATCTTGGAGAGTGGTCACCCACACCAGCTCCTGCACCCCCAGCCTGAACCAGAACCAACGGAAGTGCACTACCAGACCCTCCTCCCCCCAGCAGCTGAGGCTCTGCCCCTGGGCAGTGCCCTCAGCCAGGTACAGGTGCAGCCCCCACCAGCAAAGCTGCTGCACCAACAGACTTGCAAAGGTGTCTATCAAGAACATTTGGCAAGCATAGCTGATGCAGTGCTTTCATCACTCTAACATGTCAGGCGTTAATGCCAAGATCCGAGGGAGGTTTCAGCATTAGACTCATTATTGCTCTTGTAGCAAATTCCTCCTGCACTCACAGCTCCAGCGAGGAGGTGCTGAGCCAGCCTGCGCCAGGAAAGGCGCCCGGACCAGTGCAGCCTCTAGTGGAAACCTGGTGATCCTATCTAAAGAGCTGCCCTCGTGGTACCTGTGGGTGAGGCACACAAAGCTTCCCCTCGTCCGGATTAGAGATGCATGATACTCCCACATCAGCATAACTCAACCAATATGAAAATCTTCTGTGCTCACAAAACCTTGATGTGACTCACCGTGTCCTTCCTTGGCCTGGAGCTGGGAGAGCTGTGGCTGCGTTTCCTCCATGATACTCACGCACAGATGCCTTCCTGCATATGGCCATCCATGCTGAAAGAGCAGGGGGAGAAAAACATCAGCACAAAGAAACGTTTTGCCACCTTCCCCGAGCTCAGCTAGTGCAGCTCTTTGCAACTGTTAGCGTTCAGTACCTTGCTCCTCAAAATTTCATACCCATTGCTAACAAATCAACGCCTTTTCATCCCAGAAACCCCATAGAAACTGTTTCAATGTTTCCAAAGGGAATTGCCAGCCCCTCATTCCAGAGACCCCACAGGAATTGTTTCAACATTCCCAAAGATGTTAGGAATACACTTTGCAAAGCCACAATATACAGAGTATCATCATACTATTTCAGAAGGTTCAACCTATACCCAGTAACACCACACCACAGCCAAAGACTTCAAGCACCAGTCTTGTTCTTTAGCCCAACCTTTTATACCCTCATGGTTCACGCATGGCACCTGTGTGCCCTCTGCTCCCCGCAGTGATTGCTCAGTGCCCCTGGACACTCCATGGCTGTTCCTTCAGCAAGGCTCACCTGCTGCTCACAGCTATAGCCCATTGGGGACGATGCTCGGCCACAGCCCCACTCCCAATGACCACAAACTGTGTGCCTACGTGTATGCAGCATCTATTGCAATCTCTGTCCGTGGTTTGTGAGGGCTGCACACACTTCTGGCTTTGCAGCAGGCTGCAGGATATTCCAGCTGCTTACATGACAGGCAGCTAAAAATATTTATGGATAGCTGGGAGCCTGCAGCAGAGATGGCTTCTGAAGTGTGACTTAGGGCCTGATCCAGACCTCTTTAAAGCCACAGAGCCCGCACTGAACTCAGTCCCTCCATTCTCTGACTGCGAGACAGAAAATCCAGCACACCTTCTCTCCCACACTTTTGCCCACTATTCAGTCCCCAAACTGCTTGGGACAGGGGCTGTCATTTGTTCGATGTGCACAGGGCACACTGCCCATGGGGGCACTGATCTTACCATCCCTCTCAGCTGTTATGTACACACTTGTGGTATCAGCATGGGCAGTACAGAACGAAGTGAGATCCCCACAACAGCACATCGTGTGTCCAACCTCTCTCAGCCACGCAGCAAATACAGAGATGAGATGTGGTGAGATACGATGTGACTGCAGACACTCGTGGTGTTTGTGTGTGGTTGTTGTGCATGGGTTGTTGTACATGTTGTAATAACAGCTACCCCAAACCACAGCACACTTGTGAGTCTTTACTGTCAATTTTCCTAAGTCCGGCACCACAGGGCAGCTCAGGATGGGATGCACCTCTGGTGTTGGGGTGTTTCACGCAGCACTGAACGTCCCTGAGGATGGAGACCGACCCCCTCCAGCCAACCTCTTCCCATAGCTGACCACCCTCACTGTAAAATAGTTTTCCCTCACACACAAATGGAATTTCCTGCATTTCAATTTGTGCCTATCATCTCCTGTCCGTTCACTGACACAATGACTGATAAGCAGCTCTTTGGTCTCGCTGCCCGCCAGCAAAGGACCCTCGCACTTCTCAGCTCCTCCCGCCCCCCTAGCCTGCTTCTCTCCTTCGGTGTCACCTCTCCTCAGCGCTGTCACCCCAGCTCGCACCACCACGGGCCGCCACCCGGGGCAAAGGCGACCGTGGGGTGGCGGCCCGGCCACGGAGGAGGAGGAGGAGGAGGCGGAGAGGCCCGGCGCGGCGGGAGGCGGGTTTCCCCGCCGCACCTGGGCGCAGCGCCGAGCACCGAGGCACAGCACCGAGCACCGAAAGCCGGCCGGCCCGGAGCATGGCGCGGGAGCTGAGCCAGGAGGCTGTGCTGGACTTCCTCTGGGCGGCCGGGGGGCGAGCCCCCAACACGGCGCTGCTCCGCCACTTCCAGCGGTTCCTCCGCGACCCGGCGCTGACGGAGCAGCAGCGGCGGGAGCGCCGCGAGTACTTCAAGAGCCTCGTCAACTCCCTGGCCACCGTCCACCCCGCCGCCGCCCCCGGCGCCTCCAAGGACATCGTCCTCCGCCGCAGGTACCGCGACCTCCTCGATGAGGAGCTGCCGCCGCCGGAGGAACAGCGGGAGCAGGAGGAGAAAAAGAACGAGCCGCCGCCGCCGCCCCGACGCGACCCCGACGGGCGGCGCGGCCCCCGCGGGGAGGCGGCGGAGCAGGGGCGGCCCGGCGGGGCGGGGGGCTGCTCCGCCCGGGGCCGCGGCGGGCCGTGCTGCGAGTGCCGCCGGGCGCGCCGCGCTGCCGCCGCCGCCGCCGTCCCCGCGCCGGGCCCCGGGACACCGCCCACCCCCCGGCCGCCCCGCTCCCGCTCCCCGCCGCCCCCTCCGCAGCCGCCCCCGTACCGGACCCAGCCGCTGTCCTCGGGCCCCTGGGCGCTTCGCCCCGGCGGCACAGCGCGCCCCCGGCCCCCTGCGCAGCCGTCGGGTCCCGGGGCGCTGTCCTCGGCGGTGCCGCCCCGGTCCCGATCGCCGCCGCTGCCTGCCGCCGGGCTGCCCTCTGCCACAGCGTCCCGGTCCCGGACGCCACCGCCGCCACCGGGCCCGGGGACGCCGCCTCCCTACAGGTTGCCTCAGCCCCGATCTTTGCCGCAGCCCGCGACCGGGATGCCCTTGCTGAAGGCTCCACGGCCCTCAGCAAGCCCGGAGAGGCGAACCCCCGCCGGACCCAGCCCGTCCCCGCTGCTGCCATCGGGCCCCGGGGCGCTGTCCCCGCGGGACCTGCCCCCTTCCCGATCCTTGCCGCTGCTGTCCGCCCCGGAGGTGCTGCCCCTGTCCCGCTCCCTGCAGGCGCTCCCTGCCAGCCCCTCCTCATCGCCATTGCTTTTGTCAGGCCCCGAGGCGCTCGCTTCCACCAGGCTGCCCCCACCGCAGTCCAGGTCCCTGCAGCAGCTCCCCACCAGGCCGTCCCCAGACCTGCCGAGGGGATCCAGGGGGCTGACCCCCAAGGGACCAACCCAACTTCAAGTCCTGAGACTGCGCCCGTGTCAAAGCCTGACACTGCCGTCAGGTGCTGGGATCCTGCCCCCCACCAGGCCCCCCCCACCCCAATCCCTGCCACAGTCCGCCACTCTCCCTTCCCCATCCCGCCCCCTGCAGCCACCCCTTGCCAGGTCACCCCCATCCCAGTCCTTGCTGCCAGCACAGGGCCCCGCAGTGTCCCAAGCCGCAGAGAGCCAGCTCCCAGCACCGCTGCCTGTTTTCCAGAGCATCAGGCGCCAGCTCGCTTTGTCGGAGGCGCAGGGCACCCCCTCCTCAGCGCACGATGACTGTGGGCGGCAGCCTCGCTCCGTGCTCGCCAAGAGCTCCCCCAGGAACGCCGCAAGCCGGGGGCCCCTGGTGCCGCTGGGACAGCGGGAGCACGCCTGGCTGGTGGCAATGTCAGCAGGCTGCTGGGCTCAGGTGCGGGGGCTCTTTCTGGAAGAGCCTGAGTTGGCCCTGCAGAGGGACTTCATATCAGGCTTCACGGTCCTTCACTGGCTGGCCAAGCACGGCGACGGGCCGGGCCTGCAGGAGCTGGCAGCCGCGGCGCGGCAGCTCGGGCTGGCCCTGGACGTGGACGCGCGCTCGGGCTGCGGGTACACGCCGCTGCACCTGGCTGCCATACACGGCCACCAGCTTGTCATCAAGGTGCTGGTGCTGCAGCTGGGCTGCCAGGTGCAGGTGCGGGACGGCAGCGGGCGCCGGCCCTGGGAATACCTGGGCAGCTCCACCTCGGGGGAGATCTGGCAGCTCCTGGAGGCACCCCGCGGCACAATCATGTTCCCCACGCAGCCCCTGGCCCGCAGCGCGTCCTCTGTCAGCAAGGTCTCGCCGTCCGCCGGCAGGGCAGCGCTGCCCGCCTGCCTCAGGGTGCAGCTCGGCCGTGGGGCAGTGTCCCACCAATCCGGCAGCGACAGCGACTGAGACAGCTCCCGGCATCCCTGCCAGTGGAGATGGGACCTTGGTGGCCACCCTGAGAGAGGAAGCCACGCAGGCACAACAAAAGCTGTGAAACAGACCGAACCTACTGGAGAATGTACTTTTAAATGATTCCAATGAACTGTTGTCTGAGCCTCTCTGCCCTCCCTCCCATTTCTTGCTTTTCTACCAGCAAAAGGATGCAGTAACTGTGCTGGAAGCAGGAGGAGCCCTCGGGAGGCAAGTTCTGTGCAGCCCATAGGGCCAGGACCCGCTGCTGCGTGCAGCCACGACCACCAGCATTAGTGGGACCGTGGCTTTGGGGTGAGGCTCAAGTCTGGCCCCAATCCAGGCAGAGCACTCGCTTTTGCTGACAGTGACAGATTGTGGTTGGTCCCGGGGTTTGCAAAACACTTGTTTGCACCACCTCAATTCTGGGGAGCAGTAAAATGATGTCCTTTTTCAATCCCAGCAGATTAAGGATGAGTCCCTCTTTTAAAAATGCAGCTGATCAAGATCCAGCCTTCCAGCGAGTAGGGAAGGGCGTTTCCCAGGCCACCTTGCCCACCATTCCATGCTGAAAGGAATGCAGGGTAGCACCACAGCCCTGCTGCCCTCCACAGCTGCCCGGGGCTGCCCAGCAGTCTCCCTGCTGCTCCCTCATTCCTGCACCTCCAGTTGCTCTCCTCACACCACAAGATTAGGAAGTGGTACCTGTGTTGTGGCTAGGGCCCTGTTCCCACGCCCCGGCACGGAAAGCATTCCGGGAGGATTGTGTGTTGGGCAGAAAAGGAGCTGGGCTGTAGGACGGGTCCCAGCCTTGCAGAGGAAAGGCAGTTTCATAACCAGAGCTGCATCTTCCCAGAGACACCAGCCCCAAAGTGCCTGTCAGGTGTTTATGTGGTGGGGGCAGGTGGGACTGGGGGCCAAGTGCAGTCATGAGATGTCCAGTGGAGTAATTCCTCAGAGTTTATAAAAATCAAACTGCCTTTAGAAGTCTCGGTGGATTGTGTGGGTCCTATAATGTACTCTGCTCTCAACTTTAGCATAAATGAGCTTCTAAAGTGTCAAAAATTGCAATAAGTTCATCTTGCACCTAATCTGTCCCTCCTATAGATACTCTGTGGAGGCAGGAGAGAGCTCAGATACACGAGCCAGGGATCCAGTGCTGCCAGGCTGATGCTGCTGCTGGGTGACCCCGGGTGCAGGAGCAGTGAAACTGGGCCTGCTGTCTCAGCCTCAGTGGGAGGCTCTGGGACACAGCAGAGCAGGAGGTGGGAGCACTCATGCACTTGAGGCATGTGTGTGAGCGCCTGCAGTTTCGGGGAGGAACAGCAACGAGGGCAGCAGAACCTGACCCTTGCATAACACGCGTGCCAGGGAATGCCTCGAGTCCTTGCTCAAGCACTAATTGAGGTCTCTGCTTTGCTTGGGGTTTATTTGAGGGAGGAACTTTTTCCTGCACAAGGGAAGCTACTCTGCCTGACTCTTGGGCCAAAGAAGGTTGAGGCCTTTCCCCAGCCTGCTTTTCTCCTTTTATGGGGAAAGAGTTCAGTAAACCAAAGCAGTGTCCTGTCAATGATCATTCCTCTCTGAGATGAAACACCATCTTGAACTCATAAGAAATTCAGCTCTGAAGTGGCCTCTGAGCCACCAGCAGGAGAACGTGGAGGGCCCTCTGGGACCTCCCAGAGCAGGAGGAATCCTGTGTATTCCCCCTTCCTCTTCAATCCAGCTGGGGTTTATACTCTAGGTCACACCAACACACAAAGTGTCTGCTGCCTGATGAAGCAATGAAGCCTTTGCCACCACATTTAGAGCCATTGCCACTACTCACATCATGCAGCAGGCTCCCTGGAGAAAGGGATCCCTAAGGCCTTCCACAAGCCTTGGCTATGAGCTCCGAAAAGCAACCCTGTTGGACAGGGTACATCAGGGATGCCATCAGAGCCTTCCCGTACAGGGAGCTTCTCAGAAGGAACCCCAAATAAATGAAGTTTGTGAGCTGACTAAAACTGGGGTGGGGGGCATATTTTTTCTACAAAGACAGCTTCCAAAGAACAAGGTTTTCCCTTTTGTATCTTCCATGCTGCTACCTTGGGATTCTCATCTTACACCCTTTCCCTGACCTTTCTCCGTGACGCAAACCAAAGTGGTGCTTTTTTTTCCTGCACACTGTTTCAGCCCTCACCTGTCACCTTTTTCAGAGCCCTTTTCTCTCCCGGCAGTGTTGTCAGACTGCTGAACTAAATAAGTTGTGACCTGACTTTATGATCACTGTTTGCTTGCCTATTGAGATGAGACAGATAAGCTGGATTCTCCAATTTTTTGAATCACAGAGCAACTGTTAGGAAGCTCAAACCTTTCCATTCTGGATTCAGTGTGCATTCACTCTGGTTTATCAGCTCAGTGGTGTTAGGACTGCTCACACTGCTAATACTGCACAGCTCCTACACCACACAGTTATTTGGGGGAATAACCACTGTCTTAACTCCCAGGAAGCCTCATCCTCCCAAGTTTTCTGCGAGTGAAATAAGCAATGGACAGGGTGAAACCCATGTCCAGCCCATGGTGGGAGGCAGGGTTCCCTCAGCCACTGCTGCCTTGGTGCGTCACAGATCCAGCCAGCCAGGAGTAATCCACCACTGGATACACACACATGCAGCCTGAGCATCTCCATTTCCAAGTTCTCCTCATCTCCTTGCTACTTACTTGTCAGCCTGCCTGGCCCCTTCCACACCTGTGCACGTTGCTGTTTCCTCATTGCAGCTGGACGTGGCTCCTCGCCTCACACCCAGCGCAGGCATCTGGCTTTGCACCGCCCTGAAACGCAGGATTAGCGCACAGCAGGACTCTGCCCTCTCCCCTCGCTGCATTTAAACACACCTCCCACTTGGCGGCTGCTGCTGGCAAAGTCCACCCCTCCCCTCTGTCACGCTTATCTCCGATCAGCTGCTTTGTACTCCAAAGCCCACGTCCTGCAGAGGGGGAAGGTGTTTCCCTGCCTCGGCCTTTGCCCAGCACAGGCTGTCAAGCCTGGCAGGGTAAGCCCTCGCCACCCCTCACACGCACAGCACCGCGGCTGAGAGCGGGCGCACGGCACGGCCCGTGTTCAGACGGATCCACGTCTCAAGGTGGGGACGAGGACCAAAGGTGGAGCAACGCCGGGAGCCCAGCTCAAAGCGCCCAAGAGGCTTTTGTGCAATTAAAAAAGTGTTCCTGGGCAAGGCAGGTCAGCAAGAGAACGGAATACTGCAAACCGAAACCAATGGCCATAGGACCCTTTATATCACAGCACTTTATGAAGCAGAGACAAACAGAACTTGAAGAATTAAAAAAAAAAAGGGGGAATCCATCACATAAAACATTTTTTCTTACTTTCTTACTATGACAAATGTCATTTTGAATTAAATAGTTTGTATACAACTCCACAGTGAGAAGAAAGTCTTGCACACTTCTAGCAAGTAATGAAACAATCACAAATGCTACTAAATGCTGTTAAAGCTAGAATTTCCCATAATTACATTTACTACAGGTAGCACCAGATGTAGGTTAGTACAGTGGGAGTCCTAGTAAAATCTATGTATTGTATAAGTGGCCTTGCCCCAATCCTAGTTGTTCTGAATGGGCTGCAGCTGAGATGTCCTTAATTGGGCAGCAGCTGTGGCTAATGAAGGTAACTGGGGTAAAAGGGGGTGGGTTGGCCAGCCAGGGGGAGCCTTGGAGGAGCCTTGGTGAAGAAGCAGGAACAACACTGCTGGGAAGAGCTGTGTGTGAGAAAACCACCCAGAAGTTATGGGACCCTAGAAATATGATAAGAGCAATATAATAGCAACAGGTTAGCAGAGTGGGGTTTGGTATAAGAAACCCCCTCCCACCCCTTCCCAATTAATACTACAGCCTGAATTTCCCCAGCAAATGAGAACTGTTAGCCTTTCAGGGAAATACAAATATTGTCTTTGAAAACTCAGTCACACTGGAAAGGTCTAAAAGGAGAGTTCTTAGTTTAGTTAAATTAATACCCCTCATCCCCATCATGAGTCTATTTAAGCACAGAAAATGTGTTTTACCATTAATTAAAATAAATATATTTTAGGCTACCAAGAAAAGCTTGGTACAGAGGCACTATTGTGTTAAATACTTAACTGAGCCCATAGTGCAATACTTGTCTGTAAAGACACAGATGGGTGATCTTGTGGAGGTTGGCTTTCTCCTAGAGCTGTTAATTTGATCTGGTGGAGCAAACTAATTTTTGGATGGTTTAAATAAGCCTAAGGCTCATGGTATTTTAAATCTGGATAGGATTTCAACAAAGGCACTTAAGCTCCTCATACTTATCTGGACTTCCCTACAGTACAGGCTGTCATAAAATAAAAAGTAACCCAGAACCTGTTTGTGAAATATATCTTTACACTGCTCTTAAGATTTTTTAGCTCTGATGGTACTGGAGGAAAGCACAAAACTGCTCATGGCAGATGGGTCTGATAAAGATTTTGGGTCCCTTTGTTGCTATGTGATAATGTTTCATAGGCAGCCATGCTCTATGTGCTCAAAAGCCACAAGCTATTTAAAATAAATTGCTTAACAAGTCCTAGTTTCTGTTGTGAAGGAAAGGCCCATCAAAACTATTGGCAAGGTCCTCCACACAAGCATGTCTGTCCACGTGGACTGGCCTCAGTTCGCATTTCTAATGCTGCCATGGCAAGGAAGGACCACAATCCTTCAGGATGTGTCCCAGCAGCTTCCCCCTTGCTGAGGGGCCTCTGTAAAGAGAGATCTTGGTTTAAATATTTTCTTTTGGCCTTTCTGAGTCACAGCTCGAGAGCGAAGGAATGTTCTGAAGAATTTGATACCAGAAGAGGTATTTTATAGACTTTCATGAAGCCCAGGATATTTCAGTGGAAGTGGGAATCAGAAGAATTTGAATTGGTGTGTGTCACACACCTGGAGCCCCATGGTAATTCCACAGGGAACAAATAGCTTTGCACAGCCAGGCACAGGGCAGG